CCCCAAAACCCCAAAACCCCAAAACCCCAAAACCCCGTAGCAAAAATATATAATTGAGTCATCAGAGAATTATTATTTATATTAATAACTTCAAATATGAGGTGGAAATTCCATAAAAGTTATATTGGGATGATCTCTCTTCCTACATTAGCTTTCCTCTGGACAATCTTGGTGCAGAAAGGAGTAGGAACCAGTCTAACTTGGAACTTTGATAATGACCCGACTTCGTCTCTTGAGTTCCAGAGCGATCCTCCAAATGCAAACATAACGTGAGTGTATCTCTATCATAATTTATTCGTAAAATTCCTCTTGGGTGTGATAATTACTGAGACTTTTGATTTAGGATCCAGAGCCTTGATTATTATTTGAAATTTGACAGTGTGAATACTCCAAGTTTCAACAGGAGCGCGACAGGGATGATTGTGCTTAATTCCCAAAACACCGTTGAGATTACGGATGTTTCTTTCAGCACTGACACTTATACAGTTTATATGGAAGTGTACATCTATAAAAAGACGTATAATAGGTATTTGAAGTTCATAATTCATAGCACCCTGTTTTGACACCATGTTGATATCTACACCAACAATCCCTTATCTGGGGATCGAGTCAGATGGTGTGTCAGAATTGAACAGGATGCTAACGACTTCCATGTGCATTCAGAAGCCTATGACGATGACGATTTGTTTGTAAATAAGGTTACTTACTCTGGGGAAACAGGAATATCAGGATGGCGTGCTTTTAGATTTACTATTGACTGCCAGTCTTCATGTTCTAATTATCATTTTTATACGAGTAAATATCTCCCTCACTTATAGATGTAACCGCGGGAGTTCCAGGAACATTCCTAGGAGAAAAATAGTTTGACAAATACAAAATTTGCATGGGACTACACATGGCCTAAACAATACTTTGGCCAGTTCGTAAATGATACGGGTTCTAATCCAGCTAGCAATTGGTTTGTAGGGATGATCGATCTCCTTGTAATCTGTGATGACGTTAGTTTTTGAGGGCAGAACATTTCGCTGACTAGGTAATTTCTCCTACTATTTTTAGAGATACACTGGTAGCCGACTCGAAAAAGGTAAGAACAGGGCTTAAACAAGTAGTTATATGAGTACCATTGGCCACTGAATGGAGTCTACAATAAGTATGATGAGGATGATTCCAGACAAGTTTCATACGAACAGATCAGGCATGACAGTGGGCAAACTAACATCACGTTTTATAATGATGATAACGAGAGAGTGGTTTATCCAACCAATAATGGATGGGTTAGTCTCTACAGAGATAATTGGATTCGAACAGAGCCTTTCCCATTTAACAATGCCGTACAATTTACTATAGAATTTGAGTTCTTGAAGTTCAGGCGTGATAGTGTCTTTGAAGTATACCCATGGGCAGAAGATAGCAGTGATTGGAACCAATTTAGGTAAGGCTATCTGATAAATTTTAGAGGGAAATATCATCACAAAATGACTGTTTACTCTAAAGAGTCTGATCATGGATGAGATAGCCTTGATTCAGGGAAATGGACCAAAGTATGCTATACAGTAATATTTAGACTATTATTTCATACTCTTATATTGATGAGGCTAACAAAATCTGGCTTGGAATGGGAAGACAGACATTGAGAGATAATGCAGACAGTAAATGCCTTTCAATTTAGATTGTTAATGGTTTAAGAATTCTGAATTAGATCAAGGTGTATATAGCTTAGCTTATCTTCTTTCTCAAGGTTTTATTAATCAGCTATTTCTCTCTGATTTGCATATTTAATAAAGCAAAAAGTTCCTTATAAAATTGTTAAAATTTGTGTCTCAAAATACAATTTTTTGATAATTTTTTGTTTTTATTTTAAACAAAAAGACAAGAATTTAGAGTAATTTTCTATTAACTTTTACTAATTTTCCACAATATGGTTTGAATAGCTCTTGAATTCTACTTTAGCAAGTGCAACCGACTCAAGATTCTCTCCTCATCAAATCGACGGAGGGCCTATCAAGGGTTTGAACTCAGCTACAATGTCCATTAGGATCAAGAGTCTGAGAGTAAGCTCATTCTCACACATAGGGGATCATCAGGAACCTGAAGTTCTACCCATGGGCTCTTAATGACGACACGTTCAGAAGTCATGGGAACTACACTGATCCTGACAACTCAGACTGGGAGTATCAGGAGAACCTCGAAGATAAATATTTCCGCAAGTTTTGGGAAAATAAAAAGACTATCTCTGATAGTGACAATGCTTGTCTAGTAAGTCCTGACTTATCTTCTAGAATTATTTCACTGACCAGCCTCAGCTCTGAATGGACCTGACCCACAAGAAGCATGAGTACTGCTCTGAAGGATTCAGAGAAGAATACTATCACTGCATTGACCACTGAGGAGATGCTATAGTCCAAATGGCTCCTAGAATCATCGAGTGAGATGACGGGAATACAGAGGATGGCGATGGTTGCTCTAAGAACTGCATGATCGAAGATAGATGGATTTGTGAAGTAGACCCAATTCTGAATAATAAATCCTATTGTCAACCAACTTGTGGAAGTGGAACTCTTGAGACAGACACTGAACAATGTGATGATGGTAATAATAGCAATGGAGATGGCTGTGAGAGAAACTGAACTATTACATACAAGTATAGTTGTGAAGATGTTTCTGACCAACCTTCTTACTGTACCCCTGCTTGAGGAAACTCAGAACTAAACACAGAGTATGATGAAACATGTGATGACGGAAACAACTTAGATTTTGATGGATGCTCTAGAGACTGTATCATTGAGCATAATTATGATTGCACTCATGTGACAGGCAAGCCTGATAACTGAACTACTGAATTTTCAAGACCAGTCATTGTTTCTGACAAATTTGACCAAACGAAAAATACAATTACAATAGAGTTTGATCAAGAGATGATGGACCAAGAAGTCAATGACACAAGTGTTTTACTGTCCATAGAAAGCCCAAAAGCTGAAATTTCTTTAACATTCACAACTAAGTTCGAAGGTAAGTTAATCTAGCCATATGTTGGATACTAATTTCTCTGATAACTTTTTAGGGAAACAGTTCATTGCCTCTTTCACGCCAAAACCAAACCTTGTTGGAGGAATTGGTGAAATTATTACGCTGAATTTGCAAGAAACTGCAATGTTCAAGTCCAACAACAGCATTCCAATGCTTTCACCTGTTTCTTTTGCATATGCTGTTCCACCATTTCCAGTCAGTGGATTAGCTGAAAGCTCAGGTAAAGGTGCATCATACGCGTTCTTATTGACCATGACAATATCGCTTTGAGTGGGAATGCTGACTGGTGGATCTTCTGAAACAATGTGGAGTCTGGCCAACACTCTACAGATTCTGTTCTTCATGGGTTTGATTGAGTTGGATTATCCATCAGATCTTGCAAACACGTTCAAAATAATGGCTTACTCTAATTTTGAAAACCCATTTAGTAAATACATAACCTCAGCAGCCTTCTTTGGAGTCAATTTCATAAGCTCTCCAGTTAGCTCAAATTTCGAAAGTCTAGGATTTGAGTCAACGAATATCTTGTTTAACAGCTTCGACAAGATCGGGATGATCTGATTGTTCATTTTGCTCGTATTGATATCAAGCCTCTTCTACAAGTGAGCTGGAAAAAGTGAGTCCAGAACAGCAAGATGAGTCAAGAAATTTGACAAATCTATCAGATATGAGTCCTTTACTAGATTTGTGATTGAACTCATACTCAACCTCTCTGTTGCTTGCTGGATCAATATCTGGTATGGAGGTGTTTCAACTGCTGAAGATATCATTGCATTTGTAATATCAAGCTTAATTTTATTTGGAATGTTTGTATTGACAGCTTATGGAATTTATTACCCAGTTTACCACTTTGATGACATCAAAAGTAAGTGTTTTATCTGACTATCTATAGTGAACCCTGTCATCCACGAAAGACACTGCCTGTTTTTCGTTGATTTCAAAAAACAGAGAATCAAACAACTTCTCTACTTCGGGTTCTTCATGATTAGGAGAATGATGTTTGCATTTGTAATTATTTGCATGAAAGAAGACCCTAAAAAACAGCTGATTTTGTGAATGTTCATGTTCACATGACAGCTTTATTACTGAGTGTTAGAGAAGCCATATGTGTCTCAAATCAACAATGTTCTCAATGTGTATAATGAGTTAATCTTAGTATCATTTACATGCTTTCTCTACCTTTTCACTTGAACAACCGATTCAAATACCATAACTCAAATTGAGTGGGCATGCATTATGGTGATTTCTATATTCTTCCTGGTGAACTGGTCAATTATTTTTCCGTTCCTGATCTACACCACAGCTAAATCATGCAAGCGAAAGAGATTTGACAAATCAATTTTGGACGAAGGAGGTAACTCATATCTAAAATCATAGGACCAATGACCTACAATATCAAAACTCCAGCCAAAAATGGACCAAATAGGCCAAGTAACCCCCTTATCACACCCTCTAGGATTATCAGTCCAAGAACTCCGAAAAAAAATCGCAGAAAATCACCCATCCTACACCCATCCCCACCAAATAAAAATCAAAAAAGTCCCTGCAATTTCCAAATCCAACAGACCTTTTCCTAATATATCCCCACAAACCAAAAGAAATCCAATTTCCCCACACAAAATCTCTTCTGGCGGCAGCTCAGCCCCAAGGAGGCACAAACCGAAACCATCCATGAATAAACACTAATTATTCCTTCAGTAATTCAACCTGTGGAGTTCAGGCTGGGGTTTTGGGGTTTTGGGGTTTTGGGG